TGCACAGTTCATACATTCTAAAACTTCACAAGATAACGCAGTCGGCATGACCCTAATTCGATTAAGTTGGATTTGATTTTCCACTTTCAAGAGCCTGCGTTCGGCAGGGGTATCGCTCCAATAAATACGTCTGTGTAATTATCGATTTGAACTACCGTAACTCTGCAAAGATACCAGAAGAAATGCACAGTTCATACATTCTAAAACTTCACAAGATAACGCAGTCGGCATGACCCTAATTCGTTTAAGTTGGATTTGATTTTCCACTTTCAAGAGCCTGCGTTCGGCAGGGGTATCGCTCCAATAAATACGTCTGTGTAATTATCGATTTGAACTACCGTAACTCTCCAAAGATACCAGAAGAAATGCATAGTCTCACATTCTAAAACTTTCATCAACAAAGCATAATTTTTGCCCACCCAGTCATGTAGATTTTTGATTGCTGCTAGCCAGCTCTTACAGTTTTTTTTCTACGCAGCGATAGCATTCGTATAAAAGTGGTGGATGTCACGATCTTATCGCAATTCTACTCATTTTGGGCTGCTGACTTTGGACTATGTACCGCCACGGTAATTATTTTTTGATTAATAAAAATTAATTTAGTAAATAATTGAGTGAAAAATCGAATGCGGACTTTAAGCAATCGTCTTGTTCTTGATCGTGACCACAGCTCTGACAAGGAATCCACCGGATATCAATGCTCAGGCGATTCTACCGGATCTCGGAATCCAACCACCGTTACAGGATTCCAGTGTTGATGTCCAGAAGCCGGACCTAAAAGTTCAAGTTCCGGCACCGGATTCCAACGGTCATGTCGAGCAGCCGGATACCAAAGTTCGAGCTCCATTACCGGATTCCGGCACTCAGGAGGAGCTTCCGAATTCAGGTGCTCAAGCGCCAGCGGCGATTCCCGATGCTGGAGAGGAAGTGGCGGAATTATGGGATGAAGAGCCGTTACCTGATTTAGGGGCTCCGAACTGGAAATGTGATCCTGCTGTTATGGCCAAGTGAGTAGGAGCTACACTCTATTATGTATTGATTAGTATAACCAGTATAACTCCTCTTCAATCCTCTTTTCATTTTAGGAGCAAAGAAGTCCCAAAGAGTGTACACAGTGTTCGTTTTGCAGACATCAAAATAGTGGCAGCTCTTGGAGATTCGCAATCAGTTAGTCCTCTTCTGAAGTTCTCTTTTGTCTCAGATACTAAGCATCACCGATATCGTGCGACAAAGTTAGGTACTCAGAGTTAAACTTGAATTTAGGCTGGAAACGGAGCAAATAGCAGTAAACTGACTTCTCTCCGAACTGAATATCGTGGATTAGCCTTCGCAATTGGAGGCGACACCACACTTGACGAACACATTACTATACCCAGTACGTGAGTGTTAGTTGAGAACCCTCTTTATCGAGTGTTGGTTGGGACACACAAGAGGCGGCATCAGGTAGTCGTGTAGGAATCCTAAACCTTCACCTCAGTAACCTACCCCTTAATCCGAGGAGGTCCCAGATCCGAGCGAACATGCGATAGAGCAACATCTGGCAGAATCTGTAACTGTACTAGGTGAGCAACGAATGGGAATTATCCTAGAATAACTTCGGTAGTGAATGCAGTGTGGCATAGGTGGTAGAAGGACTCCAGAAGTTTCCGAATCATAAGCTTAGCAACCGAACTAAGCCATAAGTCAATCGTTCACGGGCTCCCATTTCCAAAAATAGCTCACAGATCTGGAAAGAGACCGCCCAGGTAGAATTGCAGAAGCAGGGTCGGACATGTGGCACGGTTTCTCCGATAACGGCAGAGGAGGGTAGTCATGAGGAGGAGAAAAAAGTAGTACTGAATAATTTCTGACCATTTTGTTACACCTGCGCTGTCGTTCTTATCATATTTGTTAGAAAGGCAATGATTGCATCAAGAACGGGATATGGGACGAGAATTCCTCCAAGAGGAACTAAAATATGGGCTGCATTTCTCCTCACCTCCTCCCTCCCTCCCTTACTTCCGTCGAGCCTTCCCACACGTAGTTTTCTCACTTCTGACTAACCAGTGTAGCCGCTTGAGTTTCATTCTGATTCAGATATACTGAGGAAATTTAATCCCGACTTGTTCGGCTATTCAAATGGAGCGGGTGTATGGAACGAATGGAACGTGAGTTACCTACAGAATATTTCTTTGGTATTTTCTCTTCTTCCCTTGAAAAATTGGTATTTCTTGTTCGGCAAGACTACACAGGCAATTAGAAAAATAGAAGAAAGTATTAAATAGGGTTTCCATCACAGTTTTAAGCCGTTTCAGCGTTTATGTGCTTCATAAGAGGGTGGGTGTGACAAAGACGATTTCCTCCCTACTTGTGACAGATCGGTTACTCTCTTCTGGGGCATCTCGATAAACTCAAGTTCTAGCCACCTCTCAGGAAACATTTTCTGATAACCCTTTATTCAAGTGTGAATTAGCGAGACTCGTCGAGCAATTTGCACGATTCTGAGCATATCAGCATACCATAAATACAATAAATTACCTATAATCTTGTACACGTCGCCCTACTCTCTCTCTCTTAGTCTTTTGTTAGCTCTTGTGCACCGAAACCTCTCAAAACTGTTCAAAAGGGGATTGGTGGTGAATTCAATTTATATCTAGCGTACAGTGATTTCTATTCCCGCTGCGAGTTATGTTCCAGTTGAGCTTTGTAGTTTGTTGTCTCGCTACAAGGCATGTCGTTCGGGATGCTCTCAGTCACCCTCCTAGAATGCTTCGCCAATCTGTAATTTACATGATTTAAGGTGTCCAGGCTGAATATGGCTGTTCCGGGTAGTGAAGCTAAAGATATGATTGTGCAAGCACAACGTCTTGTGGAGGTATTGCGTACACGCCCTGAGGTGAGAAACCGCTTTTCTTAGTCTCATGAAAATTTCTTGTAAACGATCAGCTGACCTTTTGACGATTTTTTTCTAAAAAAAATCGATTTTTCAAAGGGACTATTTCTATGGTAATTTTTGTGGAGAGTAGAGAATCCCGATAAATTCTTATAAAAACTATTTTTAATTTAGACTTCGATGTTCAGGTTAATATTACCGAGGACTGGAAACTCGTCCACATTTTCGTAGGTGGTAATGATGTGTGCCAGTACTGCCATGATTGGCGCAAGGGTCGTAAGGCGAGTGAGCCGACTCTATGGCATCTTTCATAGTCCACGACCGGTCGCGCGATCGGTCGCTCAACCGGTCGCTAGCGACTGGCGACCAGTCGCGCGACCGGTCGCGAACACATCTCACGAGCGACCGGCGACCGGTCGCGCGACCGATCGCGCGACCGGTCGTGGACTATGAAAGATGTCTATCACTCATATTTATCACTTAGTACTACATTTCACCCATCGAATCCAATTTATAATTTCTACAAATACAGTCAGCCCATGGACCGGACACGTACAAGGCGAATCTAGTCAAGGCAATACAGTATCTAAAGGATAATCTGCCACGGTAAGAACTAGGAACTTTCAAGTATTCGTGAAGCAGCGAAATAATTCGAAAAAAACCGACTAAGCAAAAGACTCTCAGCTCATGGGTCCGCTCTCAGGAGCAGCTGAGCCTAATGTCACAACTTCGTCTTCCCCAATAGAAGGGCACAGCTAGAATCCCCAAGCAAGCACATTCTTTCGATCAAACATGTAGTTCTGTCGGTTTCGAAAATTCTTCATTCGAGCAGCAGTCGTACAGAACGTGTGAATGGGATTAATCGCCATTGTAGCGAGTGGGCGAGACAGAAGGGATGTTATGTAGGAATAGGAAATCCTCAATCACAGAACCGATCACAAACTGTGAAGCTACAAGTTCTAGGTTTGCAGTGTGGCTACCGTGCTGACCATCTGAACCTGGTGCCATTCAACCTATACTTGGATGGGCATTATTCGAATGGCAAAGGTTATCCCGGCTATTCAACGAATATTTTCAGAACTATCGTCTCACTTACTGGTATGATAAACATTGAAGTACTTCGACCTGTTGATAAGCATAACCTGGTCTGTAAAGGACTTCACTTGTGAGTTCCAAACCTTCTAAACCTTATATTCTGAACATTTTTGAGATAACTTCCTCTTGTCTTGAAAACCATCAAATGGATCTTGAGCATTTCAGCTTCTATGAGTGCAATTGTGAGTTCCAAAAGAAGAAGACCAGAAAGGTCTGCTTCGATTATATGGTGAGTTACATGACCTCTTCTTTGTCGACGCTTGAGAGGAAGCCTCCGAACCGAAGTAACTTCATTAGTTACATCGATTACCCTCCATCAATGAATTCCAACTACTTACCTTACCTTCTTCACTAAAATATTTTCTCACCAAAAAGATATATTGGACCTAAGTACTACTATTTTTGTCCCTTACCAATATGATCTCTCTCACGCCTCTTTCGTGCCTTCCCAGCCAATCGGTAGCATCGCCCTGAACGCCCTCCTAATAGATCATCTTTCAAATGAGATAACGTTCATGTAGAATAGACGGAGAACAATGGAGAACAGCATATCCTGGCCAGATCCATATTGTTCATTTGAAAAATAAAGTTGAGTTTGAGTTCGAGTCTACGCAAATACAATAAAAAAGACGACACGAGGTCAAGAAATACTGTCTCAGAATAATGGACAGAGAAAAAGGCACTTCGAAAACAAGAAAACTCTGGCAGAAGTTGATGAGGCAGAGAATTTCGCAGAACGTTTTTTAAAAACATTTCAATGGGTTACAAAGAATTATTCGATTTCCAGGAAGTCCAACGAGAAATTCAAGACCAAGGGATTTTCGATTCGTCTGATGACTTCGCTTTTGTCATTCAGCCTTTCACATATGGAATCGAACATCCACCATTGACGGTACGGTTCACAGTTTGCCGATATTTATTTTTGAATTTATTTATTTATCACGATTAGAAGCGATTTAAGCGTAAAATAATACATCAAGAAAAGCGCGGATTCGGAACCTTATTTTCAACCGGAATAAAAAAAGAACGAAAAAGCACTAGGCGATAGTTCAGAAGCAAGGTCCTTCGACAATTGTCGCAAAAATTTTGGAAACCCGGTTACTATCAAGGTAGACAATCTTTCGGACGACATAAAATGCATTCCGCTTTTATTTACTGAATTTTAACTGGAAAATCTGAAAAATAGTGAAGCAGGGTGTAGGGAAAATTGCGAAGGGTCTCTGGACAATAGCAAGGGGGAGGAGGGGCAGGGGAGGGAGGGGGGTCGCAAATTTTGAAGGAGAAAGAAGAAAGAAAAAAGGTTCGAAGGGTTAAAAATGATAAGCTACAGAAGGGCTTTTGCTTTCAAGCTCTTACACACTCCACAATCGACTCTTTTTGGAAGTTGAAAGTGGTTAAAGTGGGATGAGCTGGTAAGGGGATAGCGTCTGGACGGAAAAGAAGCTCAGGGCGTTTTCGCTTATCTGTTTTATTTAATTATTCATTAACCGAGTAGTACTTGAAGATTCAGAAGGAAAATCTCTTTGTCAAAAAATATCTTCAAGTACTACTCAACTCTAAACAAAATACCGCTAGCGGTTGCTGTAGAGTACCCTAGCATGGGTGTGGTGCGTTAGGAACGAAATGGTCGCGTCGCGGTGAGAGGGGCGTCACGCGCGAAGGAATGTAGCAGGATGCAACAGTAGGTAAGAAAAACAAGAACAAAAGTACTAATAGTAGAATTATGCATAAAATAATGATCGCATATCGATTGAGCTGTATGAAGGACGCTAGAGCTGTAATAACGGCGAATGAGTGTTCCGCGACAGCCGCGTGCGGCAAATCGATTACCCGAAATCGTTCCTAACGCCCGTCTCCCCCCTAGCATGATATGGATTTACTAAATTCTGATTATTGAAGGACGAAGGTCGACCGGATCTTCGATTTTTTGCCCCCGACTGCTTCCATTTCTCAAAATTCGGTCACAGTAACTTTGCCAAGCACCTATGGAACAATATGGTTCAACGTGTCGGAGCCAAATCGACATCGGTGGAGCTCAGCAACGTCAACTCGCCACTACTGTGCCCTCCAAAGGTACTTCCTATGAAGAATTGAAGGCTATATGATCCTTCTGCATTAGCTTCTGTTTTCAGAACTGTCCACTATTTCCGACCAAAAAGAACAGCAGGAACTGTAAGAAATACTTGACACCTAGCAAACTGGACGCGTAGATAGGCATTTTGATCTAAGCCTCAACTTATTTTAATGATTAGTCCTTTGTGCGAGAAAGATCTGTATTAGGGTTTCATTTGATCCAAATACTTATTAAAATGACGAATAAATATTCTAGCATTATTAGAGTTTTGCATGAAAAACACGAGATTAGACACATGGGAACTGATTTATTTATTTGGATTACTGTATACTCCTTTTGAGACGAGCCATGAACTTGTCTCTCCTCCAAAACCGTAGAAGCGCATGAATCGGATTATAACATGCGCATGACACTCCGGAACTTTTTCCCCTCAGGAAAGGGCGAGTTTAATGAAAATCGCTAAACCCACGTAATCAATTAGACCTCAAATAAATCTGACAATTTGAACTTTAAACATGCTGCATCCCCTCCATAACCCTACCAGGAAAGCCTGCGGTCTTTTCCTGAGAGAAGAGTCTTCCACCTCCCAATGCACCCCATACAGCCCCATCACGTTGTTGAGGATGGTTCTCCAAAGCACCAAAGAAGCCCTACCTCACGCTAGCAGGCTAGCGAAAATTGCCCAGGAAGGACGACATCGTGCATATTTGGTGCAATTACACAAAAGTTGAAATACTGTTCTCGCTAAAAAGTTCTTGTTAGGTATTCATTAAAGGATTGTTCTATACAAACTTCTTTTTCACTGTTATATTAATCGTGACTCGTTCTATACACCTATTTCTGGGAGCAATTTGAGATTTTACTAGAATCATGGATGGTTTAACTATGATAAAGTCTGGCGATGAGCCATATATGCAGTTTGATAAGTTGAAGTTACGAAATTACTTTCCTCATGAAATAGAAAAGCTTAGCGTTTTACGTATCACACAAACGCGGAGCTTNGATGAGGTTGGTTTCCCTTTTCTTAGATTTTTGACCTGCTTTCATTTCCTTCACTGCTTACCCCTCAACTTGAGGTTGGTCATGCTATTCGCGGCGGACTATATGATCCTTTACTTGGGCCAACAGAATCACGAGATCGATGTGAAACCTGTAACCAGTATGAGATACATTGCCCAGGTGAATTGTTTGTAGTTTTTTAGACTATGTTACAGATTCAGGTATACCTTGAGTCCATTCCGTAGCTAAATAGAAATTTTTGTAATAGCTAGGGACCCTCACAGTTGTAATTTTTTAAAGAGAAACAGTTCATAATCAGCAGATAATCGTGAGCTTTATGTTTATGGATTTCTAACTCTTTTTTCTGGAGTCGTGAAGCTCTAGTTTTGGCTTGTATTACTTTTTTCGCGCTTGTTCATTTCTAGAAAAATGATTTTTACAGGTCACTTTGGTCATATACGATTAGATGTTCCTGTCTTCAATCCTCTACTGTTCAGTTTCTGTTTCAATGTAAGTTTTGATAATGTTCACAGAAGAAAACACATTCTTCGTAATATTAAGACGGTATCAGTAAGATGCAAATTAGCCTAAGGGGAAGCTGTGGAGCTTCAGCACCTATCGCTGACTTTCTTACGGAATAATCCGATCGAAACTACGATGCGTTTTGCTTTATTGCTTTGGGGTACTGATTACAGGGCAAAATTCTTATATCTTGTGAAGTAACCTTTTTCGCAAAGTATTGGAAATTAGCTCACAGATGACCTTTTACTCATTCTAGTGATATTTCAGCTCCTAAAAGGCTCTTGCGTACAATGTCACCGCTTCACGTGTACAACCGATGGGATAGCTACAAAAGTTTTGCTGGCGCAGTTAAGGTAACAATTCTACTTTCCAATTCCTATTTCTCACTGTCTAGCGTATATCCCTACAAACCATGATGTAGATGTTTCGAACTGGGTGTACCACATCTTGCACCTGAAATAGAGACACAGTTCAAGGACAAATATGGAACGTCTCAGCAATGTAAGACCTTTAATACTGTTTCTGTTTCCTTGTTGTTCATGCTTGTTTTATTACTTGCTGTCCCTCGATTAGTATTGAATTATATTTGAATTTGTAGCTGTGTTTATGACCGTGGAAGAGGAACAGCAAATGTTCGCTGAGCTCGACAAATTGATTTCCGATCGTGCGGGACGCCCTCTGTGCAGCCTTTCCGCTGAAACTCCATGCAAAAATACAGTGGATCTTCGAAAAACTGTGATCAAGAGCTATCTGAGAGATCATTTGGTTGGTATTAACGATTGTAATATCATGCCCTTCTTAAGTCTGACCCGGCATTTCCCTTTATTCCAGTTCAAACGCAAAGCCCGTTGTCCTTTGTGTAAAGGATTCAACGGACAAATCCGTAACGATGGTGCTCGCTGTGTTCTTATTGACTTTACAGTTCATGGAAAGAGAAGGAAAAAAGTCAGTGAGATGGCAGCTGTAAACTTACTCCAGTGATTTTGTTTTTCTTTTCTCTCATTAGTTTCATGATAGCAGTTCGAGGTGAACTGGTTACGAAGGAAAGTAGCGAAACCTACCTTAAAAAGTTTGAATTGCTTTCACGTTTTAGATGGACCTCTACAAAAGCGGGTTCGAAGGAGAAGATATGGAAGAGGAAGTAGATGCATCAGATGACGAAAAAGGTAATTTATGGCCCGCTCGTATAACATTTTAAGAAAACTCGTCAGCTCGTTATTCAGAAAACAAAACGAATATGTTGAACGATGTCGGCTATGGGACTGCTGACGTCTCTGAAGGTGCATTAGAGCTGCAAATGAGATCAGTGCGAAGTGGTGCGTGTGAAAAGGTATATTGTTCTGCATAGTGATCACATACAGCTGTGGCGTCACTTTTTTTTCCTGCTCACGCTATTGTCTATAATTCTGAGAACAATTTTTAGCTCGCCTGGCGCGCTGCTGAAGTTCGTGAACACTTTCGTCTTCTCTTCAAATCTGAGGGAAAGCTGTTGTTGAAATTATTCCCAATGCTAGTTGATGAAGGAGTAAGTCAGCAGCGCATTCTATTGAAAAAGGGCTGTAAAAATTTATCAATTTGAGGCCGGTGGTTTATGTCCTCTCGATGGGCTGTTTTGCGAACTTATCATGGTACCACCAACGAAATTCCGGCCCATTCGACTGTTCAGAGGTGAACGGTATGAAAATCCTCAGACAGTGAATCTTCGACGGGTACTTGAAGCTACAGAAACTATAAGAGTAAGTCTACAGCTGGACATTTCAAAGTTGAAGACATTAACCTTAAATATAATCCCAGGCTGTATCGTTGGTCCTTAATGGCGATAAGAGCGCTCAGCTGATGGAACTGATTTCGAATAGAACACAAGGAAAAACAATGAACGCACGAATGCATTCCGCTTACTTGAACCTCCAGCAACGAGTCAATGCCATTTATGACGAGGTATTGCCCTTACCCGATATAAATTCCCGAATAATTGTTAAGTTTGCACAGCCACTGAAATTGTTTTCAGGAACTTGACAGACAGGACCAGAACAGAATTCCCGGAATCAAGCAAATCTTGGAGAAAAAACAAGGGCTTTTTAGGATGAATATGATGGGGAAGCGAGTGAACTTTGCTTGCAGGTTAGTTGTGCAACCAATTTTTCGGCTCTTAGGATACGTGCACTTTACTTAATCCTTTTTTTAATACCATAGAACTTTTGTGAGGGGAGTGCCTATATTCCATAGGTGCCATTGTATGTGTTCAAAAAAGTTTATTTACTGGCAGGATTTTAAATGTCTATTGTTGTTCAGAAAGGATAATATATAAGTAAACAGTCATATTATTATTTCGCTTGACTACGCAGCATTGTCTCAGTAAGCTCTTCTGAAACCCTGCAGCGAGCTTTCTTCAGAGCATCCCTGGCCCAAGTGTGTAAGTAGAAGTAGATGAAATGTGCTCACTTGTAATGTGGTAATTCTGCAAATACTTTCACCACCTGATGAGCTATTGATACTTTTTAGATCTGTGATTACACCTGATCCATATCTCGATATTGATGAGATTGGAATACCAGAGATTTTCGCTAAAAAACTTACTTTCACGGAGCCTGTGAACCTTTTCAACAAGAAAGAGATGCGAACGTTAGTGCGGAACGGACCTGATGTCCATCCAGGGTAAGTCGTTCGGATGGTTTGAGTGTTTGTGGTTGTTTCTTCTGAAACCCCTTACATATTTAATGTTTCAGAGCAAACTTTGTTATTAACGCTGTAGGTAGGAAGCAAGTATTAACAGCAGATTCATATGAGCCTGAGGCTAAGTGGAAGCGTATCGGTGCTTCAAAGATGTTGGAATCAGCAAACACGGACAAACTGCGTCCACCAATGAAGGTACAAAATTGCTTACCTACTCAGTTGTTAAGTTGCCAAGTTTTTTGTCTATCTTGTTCCAAAATTCCCAAAATGCGTCTGGTCCATTATAGCTATTTGAAGGTACTGCGTCATTTGCACAACGGAGATATGATGATGATGAATCGTCAGCCATCACTTCATAAACCGTCTATACAAGGACACAGGTGAGTTTCAAGATTCAGTGCTCACCATTGTAGTAGGAATTGAGTACGCTGTTCAGCTCGATTTTTTTAATCATGAGCTCAAGTTTCCGTATTTTAGAGCTCGGGTGATTACTGGTCAGCGTGCCCTGCGTATGAATTACGCTCCGTGCAAAGCCTATAATGCTGACTTCGATGGAGACGAAATGAATGGGCATTTGGTGCAGAGCCACATTGCACAATGTGAAGTTGCAGAATTAGGTAGGTGTTTTTTTCGTTTCCGTTCTCAGCAATTCAGAGGTTTTTTTTACAGCCAATGTCGGAAGTAACTTTCTGGTTCCTAAAGATGCCACACCTCTTTTGGGGCTGATCCAGGATCATGTTGTATCTGGTGTGCTGCTGACAATTAGGGGACGATTTTTGAGCAAGGTGATTTGTAATCTCAATAGGTTTCTTTCGGATTTTGTTTTTGAGACCTTTGTTATCAACAGGAAGACTTCATGCATCTTGTACTATCAGCATTTGCTGCGCATACGAAGCGTATTGAGATTCCTGCACCCGCAATGTTAAAACCGCGGCAAATGTGGAGTGGTAAGCAGGTAAATTCCTTCCTAAGACTAAAAGTCAGTTTCCTGGAGAACTACTCTGTTTGCCAACCTCATCTTAAGGTTTTCACGAATTATTTGCAGGTCATTTCCTGTATTGTTAAGAATTGCATCCCTAAGGGCAAACCACTGATCAACCTTACATCAAAATCGAAAACACCGCTGTCATGTTGGAAAGTGCGTGGCTTCGACACTCCAGAGCTTAATATGAGCGAATCGGAAGTGGTTTTCAGGTAAAAGATTTTATGTTGGTGTAAGCCTAGCTGTTTCTTTATTACTTTCTCGTTAAGTAGTCGTTTGCTCACTGTAGTTTTGGATTGTATTAATAATAGAATTCTGAAATTACAATTGATGCAGATATTTCTTACTGAATGAAAGGAAAATTCGCGTCATTGGAATATGCTCTGAAATCGCACATCAATTTATAGACAAGGAGAGCTGTTGGTGGGCGTTCTAGACAAGCAACATTATGGTGCTACTCAATACGGTTTGGTTCACAGCTGTTTCGAACTGTATGGGCATAAAGTCGGAGTGCAGCTCCTGTCGTGTTTTTCACGTCTGTTCACAACATATTTGCAGGTAAGTGTTGTCACCCGAGCCTTTTGAGGAAGGGTGTAGAGCAAAACAGAGTTCGGATTTTGATTATGTTACTGCAAACTGGGCTTTTTCCTATATTCCGTCTTCTCACTTGCTACGTCACTGTGCTTGAGAACATGAGTAAAGCCATCTTGTTTTTACCCCATATCATGAGAGGGAATTTGAAGATATGTATGTGAAACTCTAACTCTCCGAGGAGTACTTATGGTCAAGACTACGAAGGTTTTGTTATTAGATCCGGTTGTTTTTTTTTTCAGGTTCACGGCTTCACTTTGGGTGTTGCGGATATTCTTGTCAGGAAAGATGCTGATAAACGGAGAAAACAAGCCATCAGAGAGTCAAGAACTATCGGAGATCAGGTATGCTCAATTCAATGGCATCGTCGAGTTTTGGTTGGTATTTATCCTTTGCGGATTACAATCCTCCATCTTTTGTTTGCGCGTGTCAGCATTTCGAATTTGATTTATTTGTCATCAATATAGAGCGAATAGAATTTCCTTGTTCGTCCTCCTCCTTCGTCTGTTGTTTTTTGTTTTCGAAGGTAAGCTGATAGTTTCTCAGTGTATGCAATCTTATCTTAGGTGGTCAGAAACGCCTTCGGTCTTGATGAGAATGTTTCACATGAGGAAATAGATCGCATCTTGGCGTCGACGTATTGTAATCCAAGAGGACAAGGGCAAGACGTGAAAATGCTTGATTACTCCATGAAACAAGCTATTGCGAAGTACAACGATGCCATAACGAAGTACGCCGTTTCTTTTTCTGACGGTGTCGTCACAGTATGTTTCTTGTCCGTTGTATACATTTTGTTTCAGAGCTTGCGTGCCGGATGGTCTAATCCGACAATTCCCTGAAAATGCGCTACAGGTCATGATTCAATCCGGTGCGAAGGGATCAGCCGTCAATGCAATGCAGGTAATTTTTGAAACTAGTGTATTACCTTGGAATTCTTCTTGGTACTGGAAAGATTCACTCAGCTTCTTTTCCTTGGTATGAGCTTGCTTCAATTTATTCAGCTTTTTAAAATTATGCATCAACTTATGTCCTTTAATGCCCTTAATTTTAAGTATTTTTTTGGACTTATGCTATTTCATTGAAGTTCCAATCTCTGTTCTTCCGATTAATGATATATCTATGTTACGAAAATCCCAAGTTATTTATGCTTCCAGATTTCTTGTTGTCTCGGCCAAATTGAACTGGAAGGCAAACGAATGGCTGTCACGGTTGCAGGAAGAACCTTGCCGTCATTCAGGTTCTTATTCAAATTCGTTCAACTGTGAAGATTCACTTCCCTTAATGGTTCGATTTTAGAGCTTTCGATCCATCTCCTCGAGCTGGTGGCTACATAGATCAGCGCTTCTTAACAGGAATCAATCCTCAAGAATTATTCTTTCACACAATGGCCGGAAGAGAGGTGAAGAATTCGGAAAGCTTCTTGTCAAAGCCATTTATTCTTGGAATGTGACCGTGTTTTTTATTACGTGTATGTTTCGTCCAGGGTCTGATTGATACTGCTGTAAAAACGTCTCGTTCCGGCTACCTACAAAGATGCCTTATCAAACACTTGGAGGGCTTAAGGGTCCATTATGATGGAACTGTTAGAGATCATGACGGCTCGGTCGTACAGGTAGCTCTAACTGTGTAGATTTGTTCTGTTTTACTGGCAGGTTTATTCATACAAAAATTATCAGCTCGCTGTATTACTTACCCTGCCAAATGTTCCAAAGAGATAATTCAGTTCCGATATGGAGAGGACGGTCTCGATGTCGTGAAATCTACTTACATCAGCCCAAAAACGTTTCCTTTCCTGAAAGATAATTTGGACGCTGTTATAAGTTGCTCCAGGCCTGAGGAAGCTAGAGATTATGAATACAATGTTGAAGCTGCAGAAAAGCAGTATCATAGGGTAAGGAAGTTTGTTGTGGATCTGTTTCACTGTGTCGATGATTTTTTTTGCTTTATTAGATCGAAAAATGGCGAAAGAAGTCAACTAGGGATGGCAATCGTCGTGGCAAGAAGGTTTATGTATCTGGCTTTACGGAGTTTTCTGTTGAGCAACTCGGCGTGGATAAAGAGCGAATCGTGGGGATGTGGGCCGAGATGGATCAAACTGAAAGAGAGGTGTACGAGAAGAGGGCGCCACGGAAGTGTCCTCATGCGGTCGACGAGGTAGATATGTCACACTGTGATTTATTGTGGTCCCAATTAAATGATATTATTTGAGGAATTCAATGTATATAATACTCTGGGAGCGTTACCGGAGAAAACACTGGACTCCATATACAAGTTTGCTGGTAAAAACGATAAGCTCAGACGATCACTTTTCTGGAAAGGTATGTACAGCACTGTTTCAGAGTTACAATTCCTTTTTTTACAAGTATTTTATAGTAAAACTTTTATTTATCACCTGTGCTTGATCACCTGTTTGAGGTATGCGCTCTCTGGCCGAACCTGGTGAAAACGTCGGTTTGTTGGCAGCTCAGTCAATCGGTGAGCCATCAACGCAGATGACTTTGAACACTTTCCACTTTGCCGGTAGAGGAGAAATGAACGTAACACTGGGAATTCCTCGTCTGCGCGAAATTCTTATGACAGCATCTGATCACATAGCTACTCCGAGCGCTAAGGTTAGCGGTCATCTACTTCAGTAGCAAATTTGAGAGGACGTTTTGTCTAGGCCTTTACCTTCACTGCATTCTTTGCTAGAGTTTCGTCACAATCCTTCCTTACCTTTTTCTGGTATTCTGATACGAATTGCTTAGTGGTATCATAGAAATGAAGTGACACTTACAGATTCCCATCTTACCTGGAACCACGCGCGAACGTATCGATGCTATTCGAAGAGAGTTGGATAGAGTGTTCTTGAAACAAGTACTGAGAAATTTCTCATTTGAGGAAAGGATAAATCTCACAAGCGGGTAATATTTATCGTTTAAAATCGTTTCATTATTAAGAAATCGATTACTTGGGGCAATAGTCTCTTCTTTCCTGTCCGTCATCCTGTCAGCCTTAATGGTTTTTTTCCGGACTCTTTTGTTTTTTTTTTCTTAAAAGTCTATATCTTTTTTGTAAGTGGTCATTTGATGGGGCATGCTCTTTTTCCTAACGTTCCATCATTTTTTTGACAACCTTTTTTTCTGACTTGCGAAAGTGTTGTCGCGTGACAAGTGCAACGCGCGTGGTTTTCACTTTTTTCTTTCTGCTGAAATTGGCTATGGCAAAGGTTATTCTAATCGAGACGTCGTTTTAACATTCAAATTCAGCAGCTTCATGGTAAAGATACCTGTGAACCAATATAAAGCTGCCATAGGTACAGTAAGTTCGAGCAGAACAGGGCCTCTTTGACTTTGTTATCTGGTCACTTTTCCCAGAAACGCGATAGAATGGTGGTACTTTTTATTTTTTTCCTGGCACAGACATCCGATATGGTCTGTCCATCACCACCTCATCTATTTTGTCTGTCAGCTTGCCAAGGGGTTGCATAATGAGTAGTACGATTGGATGCACATCCAGAAAAACGTAAACTTCCTCCTTTATGTTGTAAGATGGTTACCAAGTCTCGATAGGGATTGTTCTTATGGATCGACCAGAATAACATATCGCTTACCAAAGGAGGCGACAGAGAGATTAATTCCGGGAAGAGATTAGCGAAATGCGAAAAAATGGGGTTTGTCTTTGGCTCAGCTCTTTACGCTACTTCAGTAGAGCTCATCATCTGAATTATTCTCTGCCTTACCTTTCCGTTTTCTATTAGATAAGCACTGACTAATCATCCGAGCTTTCAGTGACTGTTGGAGGCGCTACTACCTACGAATCGAAATTCTCTCTAGCACCAAAAGGGAACAGAATGCTAAGTATCTCAAGCGTAAAGTGATACTGCAAGAGGTTTCTTTCTGATAATTCGTCTTGACTCGAACGTTGTACTCATTATGCCTCAACTTTTTAGCTTGAACGCAGATTTCTACGTTCACTGGCATCTTCAATCAATAAGAAGTATCGCGATGTTTTGGAGTACCAGCAGATACAGCATCGAAAGCTGCGAGCCGGTAATCTCAGCGCTGGTTTAGGACAAAGAGATGTGTCCTTAATGCCGCGGTACGTGAGACTTGTTTCATTTGTGCTTAATGGACTCAATGGTAGAAGAGAGTTTTAAGTGTTCCCATCCAGTTTTGGTAGACTGTGATCCCGAAAAAAGGTACTGAACACAGCAAACGCGAAGAATTTCTTTACTTTGTTCGATTTGCTGATTGCTCGTTTTTACTTTTTTGAGGCTAGTTTTAGCTCATGGGTTATCTGGTTAGAAAGAGTAAGTGTGACTCTTGAAAATTTAAGTTCTCTTCTGCACAAGCTAGAAGTGCTGCACCAAAGCCGATGTTCTGGAAAGCGGCTTTGAAGCTGTGCAGTGGATATCTTATGGTTTTTACGAGGCCAGAATGATTGTCCCTTCCTTCATAAATCCATTTTTGTGTGCAGGATTTGAGCAAACAAAAATCACTTTCCAATTCCAGTCGTGCGAATAATATGGATGACGGAAACTCCTCAGATGAAGAAGCTGCAGGTGGAAGAGAAGCCGATGCTGCCGAACAGAGGCTTCATAACAGACATCTGTGAGTTTGCTTAGTTCAGTATTTTTAAACCTACTTGAAACGGTTCAGAATGCTTATGTGAGGCAACGACTGATTCTTAGCGTGAGGTTTGGGGAGTGAAGGGAGAAGCTTTAATCCTACTTATGTTCATGGTTTCGGGCTATATCTAAGGACCTTAACGGCTTGTTCAGAGATGATGCTGCAGAGTATGAAGGCGAGGAAGAGGACCGTGGCCAAGTTGAAAAAGATGATGAAGATAGGCAGGTAAGAGTTGGCTTAACTGACAATGAATCTTCCCCTCAAATAGGTTTGAACTGTCAAAAGTGTTTACTTTTGCTGAGCGGTCGAAACTTGTTCGCTGTATCTCCGAAGTAGCTTATCACTGATGAAATTGAACTTCTGTAGTTTTGACAGTTTCACACTTTCTTTTATTTCCCATATTTCCTACGCGTATTGTACAAGGGCCGTTTTTGGGGGCCATATCACATCCTCAGCCCGAGATATATGCAAAGCTCAATCGGCTGAGAGATGAGCATTTTAGAGTGGAGCCCATCTTCAACACACTCTTACACTGATATGGCTGTCACAATGTCGAGGAGGTGGAAGAGGGCTAGTATGGTGATGCCACGTGTTTAGTCACGGCAGTTCACCCGGAGAAGTTATGGTCAAAGTTTTAGAGCTTGTCTGAGATACTCACTCGCCTTCAGAGCAAAAAGAAACGTTCTTGAGAAGACTCCCTTAGTGTCAGCCGATCTACTTCGTTATTTATAACCTACTGCAGTGCTTTAGTAACGTATCGTTCTACCCTGTGCGTCACCAGAGCAGTACTTGAAAATTTTGTCTCCCTCTCCCACCCTTATGGGATTCCTTAAGGTTCGGTACCCTCACCGTGGAACCAATAGTCGGTGAAGTTTTAGACAATATTGAGTTAGAATTAATAGAATTGAATATGGCTGACTTTTTTCCTCCGTAGAAACTTATATTCCGTGTATGTTTCATGGACTGGAATTTGAGTGGCGGAACAAGCTTTTCCTCGTGATTCCCAGTTGCTAAAATGGATCCGTTAATGACAGTCGTTGCAGCAGCAGCAGACTGGCTGCAGCTGCGCAACGCGGCCGTGAAAACCATTTGTCATCAGCTTGTCGATTGCGACCTGTCACCACTAAATCATATGTCGTAGTTGATCACCAACTGTAATGTCTGTGTGAACAATGGGGTAGTGTTCGCCTTGATGAAGAACACCTTTGCTTTGCACGTTGAATGGAAGTCCTTGCGAAAAATAGAAATATTTCACCTGTTATTTCTGTGGTTTTTTAAGAAATTGATTTTTTTACAGGATGAGAATCCGGAGGAGTTCGAGGACAGTGAGAAGGAGCAGGGGGACGAAGGCGAGAACTCTGAAGCAGAAGAAGAAGCGGCTTTCGAAGAGAGGAAAAGAAGCGCTGATGAGCGAATCAAAGTCAGTTTTCACCTCGCGAATTGGAACTTTTATTATCAAAATTTGTTCGTGGAAAAAATATTTCCTGCCTTCCGTTCTTTTTCTTGTCTTCATGTGGAAACAGATGATTCCTCTTTTGCAGTTCGTCATATCACAATCGAATATCATCGTTGACTACAAATTTGATGTTAAATCGGAAAGATGGTGTGAAGTGGTATTTCAATTACCGTTAGGAAACAAAAGCAAACTGGATCTGTCGACGATAGTAGAGAGGTGAGCGTAAAGAAAGTTTCTAATTTACTCGAACAACTTTTCTATAGAATCCTATTTTCCTTTATTTCTCTTGATTTCTTTCGTATTTTGAAATCCTAGTGTGGCGTGAATTATGTGTTTGAAACCTATGAGCAACTGATTCCTCGTTTTTCTTTACAGGGAAGTAGAAAAGTTCATCGTCCATCAAACACCAGGCATAGAACGTTGTATTGAAACGGAAGAGGTCGTGGATGGTGTACCTACGAAGTTCCTACAAACACAAGGCATTAACTTGGAGGTAAACTTCTTTCATCTTCATGGTGTTGTGCTTGCACTAGTGCATCGTTGCTTTATCACATGCAAACCTTGCATCGCGGTTGCGATGCGGCTCATATGGGTTTAGGTCAATCAAGCGAGAAAGTTCTAGGCTAAATGACAAGCTCTACTTGCATGCCTTTTGAACCTGGCATCAAACGTTGAACGATGTGGAGCTCCACGGGTTGGGCCACACGTGCAGCCTTTATACAAAGCACTGAAGCGTTAGAGCCTTGGACATGTCTGACCTTTACTTACGCCTGACATAGCCTTCTTCTTCGGGGTGGGTTTTATGCTTCCTCGGTTGTGGATGGCACCAGTCAGCCAACCGCTGAGGTTTGAAATCTGCATGATAGCAGCGGCAAGGTTGATGTACACGGTGAGGCGCTATTCGATCCCTCCCAACTTGAGTATGCTTCAATTCAAATGAATTCTTTCCCCACTCTAAAAAGCAAGACTAAAAAAGAGGGAAGAGAAGAGGATAGATGATCGATTCAACCATATTTTGACTTCACTACGGTTCCTGTATGTTAATGAAAAGTTGCTGTAAACATCTGGTAGAGAATCACATGGAATTTTTTTTTTGTCAAATTCCATCTGAAAGGACAGAACGCTGCCGGAAACGTTGCTGTGGCTATATTTAGAGGTGATTCGCGGGACTCTTGTCCTTGAGAAACTTTTTCAAGGTGCAAATTAAAAACCAGTTGGACGGTCAGCCATCTGCGTAATTTCGGGTAGATTAATCGAATTTTCAGTTGTTTCAAAGACAAATCGGGCCAGATAGATGGTCTAATCGCTGGAAATAGATTGTATGATGCGAGAAAAAGATGTTTCTGATATTTCTACTTTGCAATAAAAATGCGAAAGCAAGCTTTTCTCACTTTTTATCTACGAGTCGAGGTTAATTTGAAGGCGAAAAATGGATGGAAGCTCGATGGAAATAGAAATCGACATCTACTGAAAAGTTGAATGGATCACATTCACCAGGAGATGATTTTTTTTATTTTCCTTGCATATTTTTTAGTGAAAGGGAAGGGGG